TGAGGCTGAGGCAGTCTGAGGCTGAGGCTGAGGCAGGCTGAGGCTGAGGCTGAGGCAGGCTGAGGCTGAGGCCGAGGCAGGCTGAGGCTGAGGCCGAGGCTGAGGAGGCTGAAGGCAGACTGAGGCAGCCTGAGGCTGAGGCAGGCTGAGGCTGAGGCTGAGGCTGAGGCTGAGGCTGAGGCTGAGGCGAGCAGGCTGAGGCTGAGGCAGGCTGAGGCTGAGGCCGAGGCTGAAGGCAGACTGAGGCTGAGGCTGAAGCAGGCTGAGGCTGAGGCTGAGGCAGGCTGAGGCTGAGGCTGAGGCAGGCTGATGCTGAGGCAGGCTGAGGCTGAGGCTGAGGCTGATGCAGGCTGAGGCTGAGGCAGGCTGAGGCTGAGGCCGAGGCTGAAGGCAGACTGAGGCTGGCTGAGGCTGAAGGCAGGCTGAGGCTGGGCTGAGGCAGGCTGAGGCTGAGGCTGAGGCAGGCTGAGGCTGAGGCAGGCTGAGGCTGAGGCTGAGGCAGGCTGAGGCTGAGGCTGAGCTGAGGCCGAGGCTGAAGGCAGACTGAGGCTGAGGCTGAAGCAGCTGAGCTGAGGCTGAGGCAGGCTGAGGCTGAGGCTGAGGCAGGCTGAGGCTGAGGCTGCAGGCTGAGGCTGAGGCAGGCTGAGGCTGAGGCCGAGGCTGAAGGCAGACTGAGGCTGAGGCTGAAGCAGGCTGAGGCTGAGGCTGAGGCTGAGGCTGAGGCTGAGGCAGGCTGAGGCTGAGGCAGGCTGAGCTGAGGCAGGCTGAGGCTGAGGCTGAGGCTGAGGCTGAGGCTGAGGCAGGCTGAGGCTGAGGCAGGCTGAGGCTGAGGCTGAGGCTGAGGCTGCAGGCTGAGGCTGAGGCAGGCTGAGGCTGAGGCCGAGGCTGAAGGCAGACTGAGGCTGAGGCTGAAGCAGGCTGAGGCTGAGGCTGAGGCAGGCTGAGGCTGAGGCTGAGGCAGGCTGATGCTGAGCAGGCTGAGAGGCTGAGGCTGATGCAGGCTGAGGCTGAGGCAGGCTGAGGCTGAGCCGAGGCTGAGGCAGACTGAGGCTGAGGCTGAAGCAGGCTGAGGCTGAGGCTGAGGCTGAGGCTGAGGCAGGCTGATGCTGAGGCAGGCTGAGGCTGAGGCTGAGGCTGAGGCTGAGGCTGAGGCTGAGGCTGAGGCTGAGGCTGAGGCTGAGGCTGAGGCTGAGGGCTGAGGCTGAGGCTGAGGCTGAGGCGAGGCTGAAGGCAGACTGAGGCTGAGGCTGAAGCAGGCTGAGGCTGAGGCTGAGGCAGGCTGAGGCTGAGGCAGGCTGAGGCTGAGGCTGAGGCAGGCTGAGGCTGAGGCTGTGACTGCGACTGCCGTTGCCACTGCGACTGTCATCGCGAATGCGACTACGACTGCGAGAACAGCAGAATTCTACAACTGGATTCTCATCTGAATATTAAGGGGAATGCTTTCAAATATGCTCATCGCTGTTAGGTTGCTTTGCCGGGATAATTTTAAACATTTTCGCACCGCGCTCAGGCGAGAGCAACGTCCCGGCTAAACGCGGCTAAAAATCTTAGCCGTGTCTTCCAGGTCCCGGACCTGGACCCAGCCCGGAGCCAGCCCGGAACCGGCCCAGACCCAGACCCGGCCCGGACCCGGCCCGGACCCGGCCCGGACCCGGGGTTTGCTTTACCCGCCCGGGTCCTTGTCAACACCGCCCTCGTTTTTTCAATCTGGTGGTTTTGCTAGGACTTCGGCCCCTGGGGCCCGTGATCGGGCCTGCGGGGGCCATCAGAAATTGATCTGGGACCAGGGAAGGGGTGGGGACCTCTGGGTCCGCGTATAGAAAAAGCCATATCGGCGGATGTCTGGGTCTGATAAGGGCGCACGCTAGGCGTACAAGGGCATTGGAGGGGAGCGGAAGGGATCAACGGAGAGGAGGAAGAGGAGGGCCTATTATGATGAGAGCAAGGAGGTCCGAGAGACGTTGGAGAAAGAAATCGAGGATACGTCCCCCGCAAAAACACACGCACATGCAGATTGTCCGAGAGAGCGTGCTTGCGGAACCCGCGCACTGCGGGCAATCCTCCACATACACAACAGTATACGCAGACTCGACTCGACTCGCGCCCTGCACAGTCAGACTGGCCCCAGTCAGGGGGAGGGCGGCGTACTACGCGCAGGTAGGCAGGCCCACCCACGGCAGTGAGGACAATTGTAGGCTCAGAGTTCAGTGCGTGGTGAAACGATCTTCAAATTCAGCTCACTCCTCCGGGTTCCGGGCAATGTTTGTCTTTTTGGGCCGTACGTGTCAGCGAAGCCGTCGGCCCACCTCTTCACAGGACGCCCGATGCAGTCTCTCTTGCTCTGGGCCGGGCCTGAGCTCCTCAACAGCATCTTGTAAGACCATTCGTGCGCATCATTTGACAAAAAGTTCCCCGCTAGCTGCTAGCTTTCACTTTCGGGCTCTGCACTGCGCAATCCAATCGGCCATCCCAACGTCATCCAGACGTTGTTCGATATCCTGGGCTATTCGTTGAATCCACTTCACCCATGTCACGAAATCATCCTCCCCACCAGAACTGTTCCTTCCTCCTCCCCGAACCCGCAACCAGGCGTAGTATTCGCCGTGGGTTTCTCGAAAGACGGAGAGCTAAGCCGACCCGCTGCCAGCTGCAAAAAAACGGATGCTGCTCGGCCGCCAGCTACGGGAAGGAAATGGCGCCAGGGATACACACAGGCGTTCCGACAGGCACTGGGCAAGTTTTTCTTACACTCTCACTCAGAGCGGCGGCAGGAATAGCAGAACGATAGCACAGCAAGTTACGCGAACTTGGATTATGCATGACATGTCGTACAGCCGATTGGGCTGATCATAACTTAGACTCAGCTCCACCACCCACTTGAAGGCGCGAGGGGGGCGCAAAAACGTGCCACGGCTTTGCTGCCACGGGCAAAAGAACCGTACAGAGTGAACTATTATCCTCGATGCACTAGGCGGCCGGGGTAGGGATAGCGGAGTGCCCGGAGAGGCTGTCCAAAACACAAGATGACCCGATCAGACTGGCAACATATTTCTCGTCAGACGGGTCGCGCCTTCAGGCACGTTCAAGCACGAGAGCATTCACAGGTAAATCGTGAAATGCACCAAAGGGTAGACAGCACGCAGAATTCTGCCGCAACGCTCGTGAGCCAACAGCTCCCTGATGCGATACAAAGAAGCATTACCCTGGCGACGTACCCAACCCCTGCGCAATGCGGGGCATGAGTAGATTGGGAGTCGTTATACGGAGGTGATGACGTGACATGGGCGCATATACTTCTGCGAGCGGCATTCGTGAGGCTCGCAGCCCCCCAAGGATTGCGATGTCCCGCTCAGATCTGCCTGGTGCCTCGCTCCGTTGGACCCACCAGCAGCCCTCGGAAGTGGCCACAGCTTCGCAGATCGCAGCCCCCCAGGGACGGCGAGGTCCCGCTCAGATCCGCGCGGTGCCTCACTCCGAAGGACCCACCAGCAGCCCTCGAAAGTGGCGACAGTTTCGCAGATCGCAGCCCCCCAGGGACGGCGAGGTCCCGCTCAGGTCCGCGCGGTGCCTCACTCCGCAGGACCCACCAGCAGCCCTCGAAAGTGGCGACAGTTTCGCAGATCGCAGCCCCCCAGGGACGGCGAGGTCCCGCTCAGGTCCGCGCGGTGCCTCACTCCGCAGGACCCACAGCAGCCCTCGAAAGTGGCGACAGTTTCGCAGATCGCAGCCCCCCAGGGACGGCGAGGTCCCGCTCAGGTCCGCGCGGTGCCTCATTCCGCAGGACCCACCAGCAGCCCTCGAAAGTGGCGACAGCTTCGCAGATCTTCCCGCTCAGATCCGCGCGGTGCCTCACTCCGCAGGACCCACCAGCAGCCCTCGAAAGTGGCGCCAGTTTCGCAGATCGCAGCCCCCCAGGGACGGCGAGGTCCCGCTCAGGTCCGCGCGGTGCCTCACTCCGCAGAACCCACCAGCAGCCCTCGAAGTGGCGACAGCTTCGAAGATCGCAGCCCCCCAGGGACGGCAAGGTCCGGCTCAGATCCGCGCGGTGCCTCACTCCGCAGGACCCACCAGCAGCCCTCGAAAGTGGCGACGGCTTCGCAGATCGCAGCCCCCCAGGCACGGCGAGGTCCCGCTCCAGGGACGGCGAGGTCCCGCTGAGGTCCGCGCGGTGCCTCACTCCGCAGGACCCACCAACAGGGCATCGACCCGTTCCGGAGTGAAAATTGGAACCTGAAACGGGTGATTTTCCATCTGGGCGCTCTCAGGAGCCTTGCGGGCGCATCTCGGGGATGGGGGGAAGTGCACCCGAGCTCCCAAAATTCTCATTTTCCAAATGAAATCTCTTATTGGGGAGCTTGTTTTTCGCGGCTGCGCCCTCCCGCGCAGCGTCGGGAGGTCCCAGATGGACTTTCACTCCAGAACCGTTCCAGCGTGAAAATCAATCTGGAACCCTCTCCCGACGCAAAACGGCTCTGTCAGAGATGGGAGGGGGTGTACCCGAGCTCCCAAAATGGTAATTTTCCAAATGAAATCTCTTATTGGTGAGCTTGTTTTTCGCGGCTGGGCTCTGCCGCGCAGCGTCGGGGGGTCCCAAATGGATTTTCACCCCGGAACCGTTCCAGGGTGAAAATCCATCTGGAACCCTCTCCCAACGCAAAACAGCTCTGTCGGGGATGGGGGGGGGCGCACCCGAGCTCCCAAAATGGCCATTTTCCAAATGAAATCTCTTATTGGGGAGCTTGTTTTTCGCGGCTGGGCTCTGCCACGCAGCGTCGGGAGGTCGCAGGTGGATTTTCACCCCGGAACCGTTCCAGGGTGTAGAAACTTATACAAGATGGAGGATCTGGATGGGGCTAGGTCTCTTTCACCTCAGGCCTGGGCGATCTCCTTGATACAGAAAGGCTATGAATATACGCACGTGCATGCATGCAATGTTCACTACATCTCGCTCGGGACCCCTCGAATCTCTGCACGCCCCCTGAGGGCGACGTCGGAGGCTCCACGAGGCGGCTGATCAGACCGCACAGCGAGAAAATTCTTTCAACCTCACCCCGCTGGAAAAACAAGCGGGCTCTGGCGATGTCGCTCAAGCCCTTCTGCCGGCGGTCCTCTTGACCCTCCGGCAGGGTATCGCTCTCAGCCCTGACTCACTCTGCCCAGGCACCCTGGGACCACTCTCCTAGCGGAACGAACCTCGGTGTGGTCTTGTGCCAGGAATATGTCACCTGGCTCTGAGTCGAGATCGTTCTCCTCTCGACCTTCTCCCTCTTGGCCTTAGCGGCTCTCTTTGGAGCCACGTCCTGGACCATCTTCATCTCACTCTCCCTCGCGTCGGTGGGCCTCACGAAGTAGCCCACACACCAGCCTGCACAGCAACCTGCCACGCAGAACAGGATTGCCACGAGGATCGCCACCCCGATGAGCACCATGCCCTCGAGGTGCACGCCCGTGCCCAGGCGCGTGTCCTTCAGGATGATCTCCTTCTTGTCCGTCTCGTAGCTGTAGACGTCGCACTCACCGTCTGCCTTCACCGAGCCCAGGCTGTCCATGAGGGCTATCAAGGCCGCTCCGACCTTCGCCATCTTGGACGTCGTGTCGCTCACGAAATTGACTCGGATCGCGGTGCTCTCCTCGATCTCGTCTGCGCCCTCCAGCGGGCGTCGCCCCAGCTGCCCCCGCAGCCAGTGGAACCTCTGGCTCGCCAGCGCCTTGGTGCCGATGTCGGCCAGGTTGGTCTCCCCAGCCTGCTTGACCACCGCCAGCTTCTTGTCCCGCACCTTCGCCTGAAGCCACAAGGTGCGGACCTCCAGGTGGCGTATCCTGCCAACCCCGATGCGGTGGCAGATCGCCTTCCCTGCACTCGAATCCATCCTGACCCTGATCTTCACGTCCATGTCTAGAAACTTCATCACGCTCTGGAGGTGAATCGCCTCGGCTGCCACCGTCACCGCCGCGTAGTACTCCGCCTCGGCTGAGCTCAGCGCCTGCGTGCACTGGCCGCGCGAGTACTCTAGGAGCGTGCAGCCCCCACAGCTCAACACTCCACATGATACGCTCTTCCTGTCGACGGTGTCTCCAGCCCAGTCCGAGTCGGTGTAGCACTCCAGGATATCCACCTCACCCTCTTTGGGGAAGAACAGCCCGTAGTCACGAACTCCAAGTAGATACCTGCCCAAGTGCTTCAGCCTCTTCATGTCATTGACGGTGGGCTTCGACATCCTCTTACTCAAAACGTGCACTGCGAACGTGGCTTCCGTGATGTAGTTGATCATGTACCTTGCGATGCCCACGCACTGCCTGTAGAGCGTGGCGTCATCAGCGTCCAACGGCTCCTTGAGATCGTCCTCCAGCAGCTTCGTCACGATGGGAGTGGGCGAGCTCTTGGCCCTTCCCAAGTTCAACAGCTCGACGATCTTGTCAGCGTACTTCCTATTGCCAGTCAAAACCATGCCATCATGTACTCTCACTCTCCCTCCTTTCAAATGATTGTACTTGTCACCAACCCTCAGCAGCTTGCTCACCTTGATCTTGACCTTGCTGGCCAACTCCGTCGTGAACGACTGAAGCTCAACATCGCCCGCTGTGGCGTAGATGTCGTCCTGGTGGAGCTCCAGGTCCACGGAGTCCCGCTCTCGGCGATAGAAGCACGGCTGATCGGGGCACTGGACGAACCCCATCTCCGACACGAGGGTACCAGTCATGAAGTCGCTGAACCCCCTGCTCGCGTCCCGTTCGCCGTAGAGCTTCTTCTTCATCCTCCACATCGTCCGTGTCGTGTTGCCCTTGAGAGCCTCTGCCTCCATCCACTCCTTGGGCGGCACAACCGCCACTAGCCTGTCCTGCATCGCGTGGAAGTAGGCATTGACAGCATCAATGATGACCGTGGGTTGGTTCATCTTCACCGCCTTGAAGTCTATGAGCCTCCCCGTTGTGGGCTCGCTTGCCGGTGTGAACAACCCCTCTCGCTCTGGGTCCATGCTCTTGAACTCCCTGGCAACGAATCGGCATCGGATCTCATCACCCTTCTCTTGGTACACCCACTTGGTGGACAGCCACGTCCACGTAGAATCTATCTCGTCAGGCGATACTGCTTCGAACACGTCAAACTCCTGCATCGTGTTGATCTCCTTGCACTTGCCAGCCTTGATGAGGTCGATGTCGTACTCGCCCTCGTGCCAGTCAATGTCCATCTCGGGGTCCATGGCGGGTGCCGTGTCAGCCTCGTCCATCACGAAACCTTCGACGCCGCCAACTGTGCCCATCTCGACTTCAGGGGACTCGGCTTCAGAAGCACTCCGCTTTCTGGCTCTCGGAGTGGCGGTTGAAGCAGCGGGCTGAGCCTGCTGAGACGAGGAGCTGCCACCTCCTTCTTGCCTCGGCGTGGAGACCTCTACGTCTTCCATGCTGCCACTCTTTGCACTCTTGTAGCTCTGCCCGTCGTCAGCAATCCCCCCTTCGATCGTGGCGTCCGTAACCCTCTTGTCCTGCTTGGTGTCCTCGACCTCTGGCTCGTCCTGCTTCTCCTCAGGCGGGACCGCTGGGACGACAACAACCTTCTTGCCCTTCGGTCTCCCGATCTGGCCAATGCCTCGATCCCAGGGAACTCCCACCATCTTGGCCACGAGCTCGAGGTCGCTCTGGTTCTCCTCGGGGAGCCTGCGGACCGTCCTGACCAGGTGCACCCCGCTGCTCGTGCCCATGAGGAACTCATCGCTCTCGTAGGTCTTGCCCAGGAAAATACCCTTCTCCCACATCGACTTCGACTTGCGGCTGCGCCTGCCTCCTGTCATGTGGCCACTCGTCGACATGGGGTGTCTGAACATCGCGGCCTCTGCAAACCTCAGAATGACTCCGTGATACTTGGTGCCTGTAGCATCTTGATGAGGTGTCCTCCCATTTGACTTGACATGGAACATCTCCGTGATGAAACCAACATGCCTGACCAGCCACGGCCACAACACGTGACTCGGACCGATCTTGATACCCAGCATCTTCTCGGTGGCGGCCCTGATCGTCCTGGTCTGGCCCTGTAGGATCTTCTGTTGCGCCCCCACTGCCCCAAGCGACTGGGATGAGTACCTGGGGGTCTGCTCCACCGTGACGTTGTACTTGTCTATCTTGAGCCTCTTGGCCGCCACTGCGTTCGCGATGCTGACGATGCTCGGCTCGCCGTCAGTTCTAAGTCTGAGCTTCGTGGCCCCGAGTCTGCGGAGGAAGCTCGCGATCGCCGTCACCGTGTAGTCCTGATTGCCTCCCTTCTCGGGGAGGCTGAGCTGCAGAGGGACGCCTGTGTCGCAGTCGATGACGGCCAGCGTGGTGGAGAATCTGTTGGCCGCATCCTCCGTCTCCTCGCCATCGTCCTTCAGGAAATGGTAGTCTATCTGCACGACGGGTACCTCTGGCTCCTTGTCCGTGAGAAACTGGACTCCACGATGAGGTGCAGCATCTCCCTTTCCAAACACACACTCCAGACACCATGGCTCGAACCTCGCATGGGTGAGCTCGTGTTGCCTCACAGTCTCCTCATCTGGCCTCTCAGGGATCTTCAGCGTCCTCGGCACCTCAGGGTCCACGCCTTCTCGAAGTCGTCGTTGACGTTCTTCCAGCGCCTCCTTGACCTTCATCCTCTCGTCCAACTGGTGTTCGCACTTGACAAGTCTCTCCCACAGCTGCCTCTTGGTGCCGTAGATAGCCGCGTCCACGACCCCTAACTTCCTCAACTCCTTCAGGCGCGTCCTCAGTGCCTCGACCGACGACTGGGGACCCAGGATCTCTCGTGGAGGTCCAGCCTGTGGTGGTACAGGCGCTTCTTGAGGATCCTGTGGCGGTGCCGTGGGCAGCAGAGCGTGTGGAGCTTGCAGTTCTGGTTGCACCGACGGTACGGCTTGCCCTTGTGCCTCCTGATCGACAACTGGTGCCACTCGATGTCGTTGAGCACCAGGTTCCAGCACACGACACTTCGCGTAGAAGCTCTTCCCGATCATAGTCAGAGGGATCTTCCTCTGTGTGCCGTTCAAGCTCGGCGGGGCCATGTAACTGTTCCCCTGCTCCAGGTGAATGACAGCACCTCTCATGACCCTGATCCCGCAGCTCAGCACGGGCTTGCTGAAGTCTCCGATGCGGAACCGATTCGTGGCCATCACCTCGTTGCCCGTCTCGTCCAGGAAGGCGATGCCGACGTTCCGCTCGCCGTAGTCCTTGATCTCCTCGTTCGTGGCCGTCCTCAGCTCCACGCTGGTGGGGTCCTCGACGTCGTCGCTCGAGTGACCGAAGCTGAGGGGACATCCGTCCGCGTCCGACCCGCTGTCGATGGAGACCCACACGTACCTGCTGTTGTCGTTGATGGTGTTCACGCTCTCGGTGACGCCCATGACCCACAGCTCGTCCTCGTTGTTAACAATCCTCTTGATCTCCGCGTTCTCCGGCTTCGACCTGCACTCTGAAGCCTTGTGACCCGTCTTGCCGCACTTGTCGCACTTGATGTGTGACCTGCAATCCTTGGCCTCGTGGCCTATCTTCCCGCACTTGTCGCATCTTTTCCTGTCCTTGCCCTTGCCTTTCGGGTCCTTGTCTTTACCTTTACCTTTCGAGTTTTGGCCGCTCCACCGCCTGGGGCCCAGCAGTCTCTTGCCCAGTGGCCCTTCTTGCCGCAGTTCGCGCAAGAATCACGGTCTCCACGGCCTTTTCCTGCGTCAATCCTCGCTTGCTTGCCATACCCCTTCGGCGGCTTGGAGATGCCGCAGACGTCGCCGTTGTCTTTCACCAGTCCGACGTCCATGGGCATGGGGCCATCATTCGTGTACTGGATGCCGTGAGGAGCTCCTGTGGTCTCGTAGACCTTCCCACTCGCGATGTAGTCGGTCACCACCTTGGCCAATCTGTTGTAATCTTGGCCAATCGCCCCCAGGGACTGACGAATCACGGCCTTCACGTCCTCTGGGGCCCATCTGACCACGACGGCAATCCTCGTGCCCTCCGTGACCTTCTCCATAGACTGGGCCTCGTAGAGCGAGACGCTCTTCTCCCACTCCTTCCAGGCCGGCTCCCAAGCGCGGACACCGCTCCTGACGGCGGTCTCCCACTCGGGCTTCAGGACTCCCATCAGCATCGCCGTCAGTCTTCCTCCAGACTTCGGCTCGTACTCCTCCTTGAGTCTCTTCCATCCTATGGCACCGTTGTTCTTCGGCACCATCTGCAGAATCGTGAGGGCCTTGCCCTTCGTAGTAGCGATCAGTAGGTGGTACAGCACCTTCATCCTCAGTTGGATCTTCTCTGACTGGGCCGCCCAGCCTAGTTCACTCTCTGCTGTGTCCTCACAGTGCGTCATGATCTCCTCAAGGTCGACGAGTCCAGCCGTCGACTCGAACACGAAGCACCACTGCCTCCAGTCCTCGTCATCGCCCGAGAAGACTCCGATCCTGCTGAGGATCTTCGTGTCCACGATGCTCTCGAGCCTCTTATCCTCCGCCGCCGCAGCCGCTCCCCTTGGACTCTGTTGGCCTGCTGCCGAGAGGGCTTGAATCTGGGCCGCCTGCTCTCCGACAACTCGCTGCAGCTCCTGGAGAGCCGCTTCCATCTGAATCCGTCCAGGAGGGATCGGTTCTCACGCTCGGCTGCGGCAGATCACGCTCCGCTACCATGTAGAAACTTATACAAGATGGAGGATCTGGATGGGGCTAGGTCTCTTTCACCTCAGGCCTGGGCGATCTCCTTGATACAGAAAGGCTATGAATATACGCACGTGCATGCATGCAATGTTCACTACATCTCGCTCGGGACCCCTCGAATCTCTGCACAGGGTGAAAATCCATCTGGAACCCTCTCCCAACGCAAAACGGCTCTGTCAGGGACGGGGAGGGGCGCCCGAGCTCTCAAAATAGTAATTTTCCAAATGAAATCTCTTATTGGGGAGCTTGTTTTTCGCGGCTGGGCTCTGCCGCGCAGCGTCGGGAGGTCCAGATAAATTTTCACACACCGGAACCGCTCCAGTGTCAAAATCCATCTGGAACCCTCTCCCGACGCAAAACGGCTCTGTCGGGGATGGGGGGGGTACCCGAGCTCCCAAAATGGCCATTTTCCAAATGAAATCTCTTATTGGAGAGCTTGTTTTTCGCTGCTGGGCCCTCCCGCGCAGCGTCGGGAGGTCCCAAATGGATTCTCACCCCGGAACCGTTCTAGGGTGAAAATCCATCCGGAATCCTTTCCCGATGCAAAACGGCTCTGTCGGGGATGGGGGGGGCACCCGAGCTCCCAAAATGGCAGTTTTCCAAATGAAATCTGTTATTGGATGGGGGGGGGTTTACCCGAGCTGACAAAATAGCAATTTTCTAAATGCAATCCTTTGTTGGGGAGCTTGTTTTTCGCAGCTGGGCGCTGTCGCGCAGCATCGGGAGGTCCCAGGTGGATTTTCACCCCGGAGCCCTTCCAGGGTGAAAATCCATCTGGTACCCTCTCCCAACGCAAAAGCTCTGTCGGGGATGGGGGGCTTGTGCCCGAGCTCCCAAAATGGTAATTTTCCAAATGAAATCTCTTATTGGGGAGCTTGTTTTTCGCGGCTGGGCTCTTCCGCGCAGCGTCGGGAGGTCCCAACTGGATTTTCACCCCGGAACCGTACGAGGGTGAAAATCCATCTGGAACCCTCTCCCGACGCAAAACGGCTCTGTCGGGGATGGGGGGGGGTGTACCCGAGCTCCCAAAATGACCATTTTCCAAATGAAATCTCTGATTGGGGACCTTGTTTTTTCGCGGCTGGGCTCTGCCGCGCAGCACCGGGAGGTCCCAGATGGATTTTCACACTGGAAACGTTCCAGGGTGCTGGGGAGGGAGGGGAGGGAGGCGGGGCCTGGACAGCCTTCGGCTACGCGCAAGGGTGACGAACGAACGAACGAACGAGCTGCTATACGCCCGAGCGCGTGGGCAAAAGACAATGCCAGCCTGAATTCGCCGCTTTGCGGGAGCGACTGCACGTCGGCTGTCTCATAATGTACAGCGTGCGCGATTGGAGGAGGAGGAGGAGGAGGAGGAGGAGGAGGAGGAGGAGGAGGAGGAGGAGGAGGAGCAGCAGCAGCAGCAGCAGCAGGAGGGAAGGGAGAAGGAGCGAGAAAGGAGGGACGGCATAGTATACATAAGCTCCTGGATCGACGGTGCCAGAGCGCACGGACTAAAAAGCCTGTTCTGGGTCCGGCCCAAAACTCTCAATGAAACGTCATACAAAGACTTCCCATGTGGGTGGGGTCCCGCACGTACTCTATGACGTGCTCGTCTGATGCGAACGCACCCGAAATGCAGTTGCGCAGGCACGATGCCCATGCATTCATCGGTCTACCCCGCCTCCGCTTGAGCGACGCTGTGGCCGAGCGGATCGAACCACCTTGACAAGTAAGCTGTCTCAGAAAATCTTGGTTAGAAGCTCTGCCAATTCTCCTTCTACTTCCAACGGGGCTCGAGGGGGCGCGGCCCGACGGGCAGAGGCCGGGACCGGCGAGCCCCGGCCTGCCGGCGCGGCTCACAGGCTGTAGGACCTGCACAGCCCCGCGGCCTCGAGGGCGCCCGGGGTCCCACCGCTGCGGTGCGACCCCCCATCGCGCTGCGGCGGCCGCCTGGGCCCTCGGCCGTGCCTTCGTCGAGCGCCGCTGGTCGTCCAGCGCCGGACGCTGCTGAAGGTCAGGCGCGCGGTGCCTAGGCCCCGCTTGGACATGTCCGGGATGTCGCCCAGGTCCAGGAACACCGTGGCCGAGAAGGCGAGTCGGTGCTGGCGCAGGTGGGTCGGCATGAAGTGGAGGGGGCGCGAAAGAATTTCCGTGGAGGTTGAGGTGTCACCCTCGGTCTGGCCCAGGAGCGCGAAATACGACTCCTGGACCCACTCCACAAACTGGTCGTGTTGGTTCATCTTGACCCAGCTCAGAAACTTCGCGTCCTCGCAGGTGCCGAAGCAGTGCTGGAAGCTGTCGGAGAAGCACAGAATGTCGTAGTCAGCCGAGAGCACGTCGAACCAGAAGGCGGGGGCGTCCCCCTCGAAATCATTGAAAAACGTCGAGCCTGAAGCATCCGAGCCCAGGGACTGCTCCAGGTCCAGAGTGCCGTTGCTGCTGCCGCTGCTGTCTTCAGCGTCCTCTGGCGGACCGGGGGGCGGCCCCGGCGGCGTTCCCCGCAGGTCCTGCTTTGGCTGGCGACCCCGCCGGCGCAGCTGCCTGATCTCCGCCAGATGCCCTAGGTTTGGCAGAAACATGGAGTCGGAATCGCTCACCTCCAGGACGCCCACCTTGAAGGCCGGGAGCCCGCCCTGGCTAAAATAGGACACGGCGAACACGTGCACGTTCACGGGGATGCCCGTGCTGTCCTTCATCAGCACCTGGAAGGTCTTGCTCGGGTCTGAGTGCTCCCTCCCGCAGTCCTGCAGCAACAGCTGCCCCATCTGTTCTGTGAACTTTCTGTTGTCGGATTCGGACGCCAAAAACGAGCGGATGTCCTCCTGCTTGAGGCTGCGCTGGGGATTCAGGAACAGCATGTCAGCTAGCTCCCGCGAGTGCCTCTGCAGCCTGAACTCCGCGTCGAGATCGACCACCACCTCGCACACGCAGCCGAGCACCGAGGTGGCCGCCCGGAGCTCCTGCCTGGATAACTTGGACTGGAGCTCCAGGCGAACGATGTAAGTCAGGAGGCGTTTAAACACGATGATCATGCCCACCAAGAGAATCATGTTCAGAAACCCGTCGCTCAATATCTGCTTGGAGTTGTAATCATAACTCTGGATTTCCTCTGCGTTCTCCCCGGACATCAGCGTGTAGGTGGACGAGAAGCATAGCACAAGCAACCATGGGATGTTCACCATCGGCTTCAGATTCCACAGACACAAGAAAAGGCTGATAATGTAGATCATGCTCATGCGATAGGCGACCAGGTCTGCACGGATCGCATACGGTGACAGGTACACTACCAAGCAGGCCATCAGCGCAGAGAACCAGTAGTCCAAAGACCTGGCCGTCACGACGCAGACTTGCGCCCACTGCGATGCCCACATGATGGATATCATGCCGCTGAAGGCGGAGAGAGCGATGTCCTGAACGATCGACCCGAACCTCTTCGCGGAGCCCCCGTCCAGCCCGCTGCGCACGGTGAAGACGAAGAAGTTCGTGAAGACCAGTGCCTGCGCCCAGGGGAGGATCCGCAGGGCGCGCGTCAGCCGCCGGCGCTCCAGCTCCTCGCACAGCGAGGCCTCGAAGGCGCCGTCCTGGCGCGCCCGCCGGCCGCAGGGGGCGCCCGACGCCAGCGAGGAGCCCTCGCAGAGGCGGCGTCCCCGCAGCAGGCCGACGAGCACCACGAGGCAACAGGCGAGGAGGCCGCAGGCGCCGACCACGAACACCACAAAGTCGCGCTGCCTTGAGGCCACGAAGTTGCCCGGCGAGAAGTGGGCCATGCCCTGGTCCGGCAGGCCCGCGTGGGGCGCTGGAGGTGAGATTACCGGAGCCGAGCTTGAGCCAAAATGGCAATGGAAAGCATGCAAAAGCAAACTTGGAACATCGACAGCGTTACTGTCCGTGTTGACTGTGGTTGTTTAGAGTGGCGGCGAGACTTTGTGTTTGCGGGGTGGACTGGGCGGCGACGACGTGGCGACGAGGCTTTGTTTTCGGGGGGAATGGTGGTTGGCGAAGAGGGTTTTTGTGTAGTAGCAACAAGGTTCCTTTTCGTCCAACCGAGATGACAGGGTACACCCCCAAAGAGGCGACGAGAAAGAAGAAGATTGGCACGATTGGCATGCATGGACCCTGGTCTCGGACGAAATGACTGTTCGACCCCAGCGCTTTTCCTCGATTTCGGCCTCTGGGGCCCTTTGGCGCCCCCCCCTGGGACCATCAACATGTGTTTGAGACGAACGATTGAAGCCGGGAAAGGGGTCGGGTCATCTGGGGCTGCGTGTTGGAAAAACAAGAAACATCGGACGTCTGGAGACGGGTCTTGAGGCGGGGGAGGGCGGGCAGGGAGGAAATCGTACAGTCAAGACGACAAGCGGGGGAAGTCGCAAAGCCGAGACGACAATGCACACCCCGAAGAAGGCGATAAGAGGAGGAACAGAAATAGTAAGAAGAACCCAAACATCGTGAGTATAAGCAGAAGGAGAAAACAATACCAACAAGCTGCAGAAAAAGGTACACTTTCGGAGTTCCGCGCGGATTTCGTAAATTTGCGCTGGCCCCCCCTGGCGGCGCCTCCGTCCCCGCCCCCGGTGCGCTCCGCGCTCCAGGGAGAGGGTCCCAGCGTCGATCCCAAGAAACCCGCGCGGGCAAAAGCCGTGTGTTGATTCCGATCGATTGCTCGCAAGCAGACGACTGGAGGGAGGAGATTGGCATGAACGAGGCAGGTCCTGAGAGGAGGATCGGGGAGAAGTAAGACTCGCGCTCGGGGGATTCGTGTTGGCCTGATGGGGCCGTCGGGTGAATGACGAGGCTCAGTCTGAAAGTTGTCGCGAGCTCCCGCTGCAAACACCTCACGACAACTCCACCGTCAAAACCCCGGACGGGCGCCAAAAAGCGCCGGCAGACCCGAGAGCTCCGGCAAGATCGAATCTGACGTTGCCCC